TGTGGAGGCACTATGATGTGTGGGGATGCTTTTCCATTTTCTGCATGAGCATTAGACACTCAATATCAACTGCCACACTCTATATCAAGTTCAATGTAGAGTATCCACACATAGTCACACATGCATAATTTTTGGATCAACTTTGATTTACATTTGACCATTTGACATAATATTAGTACATGTAAACTTTTGCTATTTTTGATTCAGCAGTTTTTTTCCCATTTGATATATAATATTCTAAAGGTTTTCAAAGACCCTGAAGGCCCAAGACATTTTATCCATGTAGCACAATAATGAAATAGCTCTACAAAGAAAAAGACTTGAAGGACCAGAAGTATAGAAATGTGAGCACTTTGATACATATAAAAGTAATATAAACATGGAACTATATTCTTAARAAGGAAAACTTGTTTAAAGCATTCAGTCACAAAAACAGCACATAAATCTGAGAARTCAGTATAATCACCCATTCAGGCAGAATGTGTGTTCTTAGAGCAATTTTATGTTGAAAGCCCCAATAAACACACTTTAGGTAACTTTTTCTAAAAGACAGCAAAGAGACCCAATTTTAATGGTTTGTTCTCTTGTTTTTAGATGCCATGACTAATTTTATCTTTAGTTCATTAGTTTGGGGATTATGACTTACTCATTTATTCAAATATTTACTTAACTATGATGTTCTAAAATACAAAGAAATTATTCTTGTTTTGTGTCAATTTGGATTCCAGATACCATCATACAAAATTCTTATAGGAAGAGAAAGASATGAAACTCAAAAGAGAGTTGTACCTAAGTACAATTAATGGAGTTTGATGCTGCTTTTTGGTTTTATGTGATGATTTTATACTGAACAGCTAGCAAATTTCATAGATAAGTCTCCAAAGGTCAAAATGCTTCTCTATTCTGTTTTTCTTTAAATCTAGTCACAAGATTAAAAGATCAAATTTTGACTTTGCAGAGAATAATCCTACTTTTTAAAATCAGCCCATTCTATGTGACATTTTTGCAGGTCCCTTGTTTTGTGTCAATTTGGATTTCAGATACCATCACACAATAAAGAGTTTTCTGGATCTTTTCTGGCATTTTCTACTTTGTCTATAAGATTGTGTCAATGTCACCCCGCTGTATAATACTCAACATTGATGCATTAATTTAAAAATCCATTAAGTTTAATACATTCAAAAGAAAAAAGTCATTGCTAAAGTTAGTCAACCAATGTTTTAAGTAAATGTTATGCATAAGCACTATGAAAAAATTACAAAGGTCTTTACAATATTGTTACTTTCTTGTAAAAACAATAATCTAAAGAGTTGAGACTTTTATTTTCTTAGATGTAACCTTAAAGTGACTCTATAAACTATTTGTCAAACGGATCTCTTTAGTTAGCATTTAAAAGCAAAAATATATGTATACTAATCATGTGCATTTTAAAATTTAATACGCCCCTATTACACTCTTTTCTTGTATTTTCTTTTAAGCCTATATAGAAATTGATTAAAGTTACAGAAACCCTTATTATTCTGAAGACCAAATGAAACTCCGCATTGCAGACTGTCTGTTCATCCATAATTCAGGATCCCAGCCTAAAACATTATGCTCAAACAAGCACAAATATTGGCAAAGGTGAAATATTGAACTGCTACAGTAGCAGCTAAATTATGTAGCAATCTCTGTGTGTGCTTGAATTCCCTAGCACTGGGAATAAAAATTAAAAACAGAAAAATAGTCAACAATTATAGTTATAGACTAAATAAGCAAGATAGTAAAGCCATTATTTAAAGTGACATTCTCTTTATTTGTTATTCATGGTTCTGAAATGACAGTAAACCCAAGAGGAGAAAAAACAAAAACAGTAGTTACTCATTATCTATCCAAGCAGAGAAAAGGGAATTCTAGAAGAATGTGCTTATGGACTTGAACTTTGAAAATGGCAAGCAAGACTGATTCTATTTAAGCTTATAGAAATTTATCTTGCCTCAAATAAATTTCCTCATTTGTCTTAATTATCTGGGCAATAATGCCAGCCCTCCACTTATTAGAACCTCGTTCAACTGTCTGGAGGTTCCAGCCAGCCCATAAATACCCTTGGTAAATGACAGGTCTCTTCTCTCTGGGAGGGCTGGCCCCTGTGTGGGCGCAAAGCATCAGTAAGGGTACAAAAGGAGAATCAAGAGCAAGAAAAATGCCCCTTGCCYATTGAATCAGCAGAATTAACCCAGAAGATGGATTTGTTAACAGACACACCCACCAGGTCACTTTCACTTCCTGTCATTTCACTTCACTTCCTCTAATGCAGACTAGGTGTGTCGCATTTTGTAGCAATGCAGACCTTACATTTATGGCCATCGGTAATCTATATACAGTAAATAATTGATGCTCATGAATTTTCTTCCTTCAGGATTTTAAGGCTTGTTATTCTAACTTTGTCAGGTACCCTTCTGATTTGTTATAACTTTTGCAGAAAGGAAGAATAATTAATACAATAAGTATAGTCACCTCGTTATGTAATAGAATTACTAGTTTCATACATCACTGAATACATTAGACCATTAACATTCTTCCCACAATCTAGGTGATTAGAAAAATTTTCAAGAAAGATTTGCAACAACTTATCAAGCTGTGCCTTCTTATGCAATGTTCTTCTGTGACTACTGGAATAGCTCAACATAGCACAGCTATTCAAATAGTTTGTGAAACGCCTTTAGTATATTATCTCCTAAGATTCACAACACAATTCTGAAAGAGTCTAAGCTGGGTGGGAACTGTTCATATTTTGCAAATGGGGCACCCACATGCATGTGTGTTAAACAGGGAATCCACTGCCATGGGCCCAGTGTGGAATGGAGATGGGGACTACTCTCTTTCTCCCACTCCATACATTTCTCAATAAAAACAACTTATACATCCATTATTTTTTTAAAAAAATCAAGCCATCAGTATTCTTCATTCTCCTCTCACCCCAACCATAGCCTTAATAAAAAGACTTCCATTCACACCAAGGTCTGAATGATGGGTAGTGATTGCAGAACCAAAGTCTGATGCTAAGTGATTTCAATTTTTCCCTTCACAACATTCCTCTATTGTCAATGTGTTTCTCATCTACAGAAGTTTCACGTTTAATAAACTTTGGGTGAAATCTGCTTTATAACCTAAATTATCTTTCCTATACTTTTGTACTTTTGTAAGAGACCTATAGGTTTCCTTTCTATCTGTTCATAGCTGCCATTACTGAAATGGTTTGGAAACTTGYCCTCTGGCACACAGCGAAGTCAAACATAGACAGAAGAATGAACTCCAAACTCATTTACCCAAATCAAGATGCTCAATAAAAATTGGAGCTCCCTGGTTCTGGGAAGAGCCAATCAGATAATTTTTCAGCCTATATATACCTGTATATTCAGCAGAGATCTGATTTTTTTTTTTTTTTTTTTTTTGGTAGCAGGGGTAGAATCCAGAGGTGCTTTACTACTGAGCTACATCCCATCCTTTTTCTTTTTTATTTTGAGACAGTGTCTCCCACAGTTGCTTAGGGCCTGTTCTTTAATTCAACAAGGCTCTCTTTGGCATGACCAATGGAATTGTTCAACAACAAACTCAAAACTTAAGTTACCACTCACCCTGAGGCATCACAAGTCCCCCTGGGCARGTGAATTAGGTGGGTTCACTGGCCACAGAGCACTCAATCAACTGGTTGGTGTCTGGTCAGACAAGGAGAACTGATTCAGATCCACCATGTCCTGATTTTCTATATCTATGAACATACACTGGGGATAAATATCCAGATTTAAGAGCTCAGTGTGTATTTTGAAASTCAGGAGTGCTTCACTGGAATTTACTGCTGTGGACATCAAATATACTGTAAGCAAAGAAAGTGGGATCATGACACCATCTTGCTATGGTAGCTGTGGTGCAAAATCACAGCAGCCATTCATTGGCAGTACTAGAAAACTTAAAAATCAAACTGTAACATTATTTTTAAGCTCTCCTGACAAAGGTTAGAATAAAACCCTCCTAATTGGGAAATCTTTGTATCCTGAAAGTATACATTGGAGCATTGGGATTATGACAAAAAAACAAAACAAAACATTTTCACATACCTACAGGAAATAATTGATTTTATGGTTCAAGGATTATATGCATGTAAAGAAAACTGAGAACTGGGAGCTCCCCTAAGAACAGCCATAACATTTTAMTATTAATTCTYTTTTAGAAGACAATCCACTGATAAAGAAAGAGCACCAGYGAGAAATGCAGGATTAGTCCATCTGTTGCCACTGATCATGACTGTCATGTCCTTCCACCTCTCGGAGCCTATTTTGCCTCATTTTGTTAATAATATATATTTTATATATATAAAAATAAAATATGTAGTTCACCTGGATTTAATCCCCAGTAGCACTATATATATATCCCCAGTAGCACTATATATGGTGCTACTGGGGATTAAATCCAGGTGAACTACATTCCCAGCTTTTATTTTTTACTTTGAGATGAGGGTCTCTCTATGTTTCTCAGGCTGACCTAGAACATGCCATCATTCTGCCTCAGCCTCCCAAGTAGCTGGGTTACAGGCTTGAACCACTGCATCCAGTTAAAACAAAACAAAGCCAAATACATGCATCCACTGTCTGGCAACAGTACATGGCTGTGTGTAGCATTGCCAAGGTCATCTTCCCAGGCACTGTCATTAATTTTATTGAAGGAGAGACTTAGAACAATTGGCACTGAAGGGCCATTTGGATCACACTAATGCAGACAGAATTCACAAAGACCCATATCTTTATCTTTTCTTTCTACCTCAACAAAACTCATCTTAAGACAGCATGCACTTGTTTCAAACAGTGGAAGAAAAGATGTCCACTCTATCATTTGCTCTTCTTTGCTTTCCTTTCAATTCACAAAATTAAATAAAAATCTAAGCAAATGTAGATTCTCARTTATGTTGGTATTTGGATTTAAAAGTGTATTTAAAAAACAATGCTGAGATTTCTGCCCCTTACCTTGCAGCCTCTGCATCACATTGGCGATGTCCCGAGGAGAACGCGAGGTACCTCTGGAACTTGCCATGGTCTTTCTRTGGCATGAAACCTACACCACTGAGAGCCTCTTCCCTGAGGCAGTACAGGACTATGCCACTCCAGAAAGCATGAGAGGACTTTCTAGATGTGAGGAGTCACAAAGGAATCCAAGGCACTGGCAGCTATCAGTGAGTGAGGGCTTCCAAACCTTCCAAATCTTGAACCTCTTCTTCCTCTTCCTCTTCTTCTTCCTCTTCTTCTTCTTCTTTTTTTTTTAAGACTGCCCTCTTAGATGAACTCTGGAATCTGAAAAACAAAACAAGAAAAAGGTATATTAATAATAAAAAAAATCTACTAGGTCACCATAGTGCTAAAAGGAGAACTCTCTCCATTCAGTGTGAATTCCTGATTCATTATCAACTGAAATAGCCAATGTAAAGAACACTTATAAAGTGCCATGCAAATGTTAGAAATTTATATGATATTTGACAAAATTTATATTGGACCTAAAATAAAATTGGTTGCTGGAGGGAGAAATACACTTCTTTCCATGTCTTTTTTTAATTATAAACTTTATCAATCTATGAATTCTRTACTCAACACACTGAGCTCTATTTCTCAATTTTCACAGGTTCTCTTATCTATGCTATTTTGCAAACATATTTTGCTTTGTTTTGTTGTAATGTTTCTAGGAATGAGATCATATCCTAGCTCCTATAACAATTTGACAAATTAAAAGAGTTTATAAAGGTAAAAATTATCTCAGTCTCAAAATCTGACTTTTAAATATTCTAAATTTAGAAGACAAAATGGGCCGGGTTTAGCTTTCTTCTTCCCTATGTAGAAAATAAAATAAAATAGGTTGTAAGGCTGGGTTGAGCATGGACTAATCAGGGAGGTTATTGCTCTTCTAAGTCTTGCCTGAATTCTCTGCTTTGGTCAAGTGTAATTGGTCATTCAGGAGTTGGGTGGCGAAAAAGAGGTAGGCAAATATTTGGAGGAGTCTTGCCATTGAGCAGTGTACTTTTAACAAGGATTGCTAACCCAAGGAGTTGGCTGGACAGGTCTTGCCATGAACAGGATAATCAGAAGAGAGGGCTGAATAATGCACCCAGAGAAAGGCACTTAACCAAGGGCCACAGAAGAGGCCCATGTGAGCCGGATGTTCTATTACGATTCCTACTACATCTCTTGGTTATGATGATGATGGGGAGGGGGAAATGGGGGTAGGAAGAAAAGAAGGGGGACAGAAACATGAAGAAAGCACAGCACGTATGTGTGGAATTGCCCACCTGCCTGARGGAAAAGGAGAATCTATGCATGCTACAAAATTATGCTATACTTTCAATGTATAGTSCTTAAAATTAGCATTATTTATGATGAATTGGTTAAGCAATAGAGTATAAATACAAAGTACAAATGATTTTTTTTTTTTTTTTTGGTCCTGGGGATTGAACTCAGGGGTTAAATCCTGAGCCACATCCCTAGCCCTTTTATGTATTTTATTTAGAGACAGGGTCTCAATGAGTTGCTTAGTGCCTTGCTTTTGCTGAGGCTGGCTTTGAACCCTCGATCCTCCTATTTTAGCCTCTGGAGCCGCTGGGATTACAGGCGTGGGCCACTGCATGGGGCTGTACAAATGATTTTTAAATGGTATTACAAATACCAGCATATATTGCACACATCTTTAAAGGATGAAAAAATGCTACACACTGCTACTGCTACTGCCCTGTGCTTAAAAAAATAAAAACAAAAAGGAACCATTAGAGAAAGAAGTCCTCCCTGACTGCTCACTTTGCCAGTTAGAGGGCAGAGAAGAGTAAACAGTGTCAAGTAGTAGAGAGATAGAAAGGCAGACCTATCTTGGCCACCTGAAATCAGCTTAGTAGGAGAAGGACAAAGTCGTTGGCATCTTCTAGGCTAGAAGGCTACCTCTCAGTGGGTGGCTCCCTMAGAGTTTCTCAGAGGGAAAATAATTATGTATGGCTGGCCTGTCACACATCATGTCCTACAACTCTGCCAAAATTATGTTCCCATTAGCAGTTTGAATTTCCTGGGTAATATTCCTACCTGCCCATGCACAAAAGCAACCTTTACTTGGAAAAATAACAGTGAGAAAGGCCTGAGGAAACTTACAACTAGTCTCTTTCTCTAATCTGTTAGAAAGTTAGGGTCCACAAATATAAAAGTATAACTTTCTGAAATCTGTCTATCTAAAACTGTGTATCTGTCAATATTCTTCATCTGCATGCATTTTAAGCAAGGATAGGGAAAGCAATTCACTTCAATCCAGCTGCCCTACATTAAGTCCTGCTTAGCAGGGTTAAATGACTAAAACATAGCCCCCACCTTTAATCAAGAATTACAGAATTAAAAGGGATTTCTGCAAGTCATTGCATTACAGATCATTCTGCTTCTACCCTCTTGTAGATCACATTCATGTAACAGAAAAGATTAATTCTAACMTCAGTTAATCTCTCTCTCCACATTAAACTCAGAAATTCCTTACTTGTCTCTAGTATGCATCCAGTCTTACAGCCAGAGCATAGCTAACACACTGAGTGACAATATCAATGCTAGGGCTACCAAGATGAATACAACACAGGAATCTAATTTTGTGGAGCTTAGAACATAATGGAAAAGACAACAAAGAGAAAACGATACAAAAATCCCAGGAGTAAGTGCAAATATAAAGATGAAGGGCTAGAAAGGAGAAGGTTTTGCCAATCTGGGGGTTCTGGAAAATTCTACTTGGAAGGAGATAACACCTACACTCAGTCTTGGCCAAAGAATTAGAGTTGGGTGAAAATATGGACAGTGTTTTCCAGGTAGAGTGGCCAGTTTGAGCAAAGGTATGGGAATGAGAAGCAGCATGAATCATATGTGGAACAGCTAATAGCCTGGCATTGAAGGCCTCTGCCAGGTGACACTCTGACAAATGAGGGAGTAGCCAGATGGTGGGGGTCCCTGTGTACATGCACAGAAGAGTGGTTCTGGTTTTCTAGGAGGCAAAAAGAAACCATCGGGGCATGTTGGGCTGGAAGTGAGAAGAAATGACCTAGATGAATAGCTGTAGTTTTTAAGGGTGTATTTGAAGTGGTCAAGGCAGGAAGCCCAGTTAGGAAGGTTATCTCAGGAATCCAGACAGGAGAGGATGAAAGGCAGAAACTGGAGAGAGGGAAGAGGGTGAGAGTAAGACAAAGAGAAGAAACCTTCACAGGGCAAAATTTGCAAGGCTTGGTGATTGGTCAACTGGGTCTTAGAGTTTCCAGAGTGGATAAGGGAGACTGAGGCATCCCGGAGGATGTTCAGGGTTCATGGTGCCATTAATGGAACTCAGAGAAGAGGAGCTGCACAGGGTTTACTTCCAAGTACTCTTCCAAGTACACCATATCCTCCTAGTTTTTGAAAGGAGCCATTTCTTCATTGCTCCTTTGCCTCACCTTGGAGAAACTCTCCCAGCTGAGCAAATGCAAAGCATCACTCACCAAGGACCCCCAGCTCACCTGAAGCCCTCCCTAAAGATACTTGCACACATCCAGCATGGTTTTCCCTTGATTCCTCTTGAGCACTAACACTCCACACTCTGGCCTACACTCTGCAGTACTGCTAACCTTACTTTAATCAGAACATGACCATTTTGCTGGAATAAGGATTAACTATAACTCTTACTATTTCCATAACTCACTCATTTACAGCTCATATATCCCCAAGCACATATGAAGACCTCAATATGTAGTTTTGTTTTGTCGAATCAGGTTCAAAATACTTTATGTGGGTGAGACAAACCCCAGAAAAACCCCTAACTCCCCAACACAACAGAAGTTGAAACAACATCCTTCCTTTTTCAGGCCTCAGATAAACCAATTTGCTTTTATCATTATTTATACACAGGTCTTATATAGAATTATAATTTTCTTGCTTTTTACTGATACTTTAATTTTGTGTCATGTGATTTGATAATAACTGTAAAAATAATAAAAAGAATACAAAAAAAGAAGACTGTGATTAAGAGATACAAATTCTAAGCTTAACTTTGTCCCAACTAGTGGGGCAATTTTGAGAAGGCTCTCTGCATGAATGTCCTTGTCCTCAACAACCACTTATTGGAGACAGAGTGGTACAGGAAATGCACAAACTGGATGAAGAAAGACCAGGAAGGAGCACACTTTAACTCTGTCTCTATGATCTKAAGAAAGGTTAGCTTTTCTGAGCCTTTGTTCCTTCATCTGTAAAATGAGGTCAACTTATGTGAAATTAGGCTGAATCGAGCAGCGTGCTTGCCTAGTATGCATGATGCCCTGGGTTCAATCGCCAGTATGGCCTAAATAAATAAATAACCAATGCATGCCATTGAGTTTCAGTAAATCACTGGTTTCTCCATCAACTRTCCTCAGTTTCTCCATCAACAATTTGAGAAGTGGCCCCCAAATGGAAATATAACCCCAAAGGTATGCTCCAATTCCAAAATCAATGGTAGCATAAGGGACAACAACTACAGGTGAACAGTGATAAGAGCCTCAAACTGAGTAGTTATGTGGTGGTATTCTGATTGTGAACATGACCTAAGAACCGGTCACCAAAGGGAGATCCAGAAAAACCAATAAGTTTACCATCTCAGGGTTTTGAAAGAAGTTTTTAATAGATGCAGGATATTGTGGGGTGAGGAGTTAGAGAATARAGGGTGAAACCAGGCACTTGGATGGAAGGGGAGAATGGGGTAGACACTGATGGATCGTACACTACACCATCTCTACATCTCTCCAGAAGAAGGAACTAAGAAAATACAGTTAAATAAATTTATCATACTTAGCAGAAAGGTAATATTCCTGTATTTATTATTTCACTGCCAATATGTATTGAGAAAATATTTGTAATGGATCTCAGTGTATACTGAAATGGTGAACAAGAAAGACCAAGTGCCTCATTGAACTTAGAGACCAGAGGGGGAGATGATATAAACACTATTGCCACAAATCAGACAGGGTGACTTGTAATGGAGAAGTCCAGGCCACAGTGGGGACAAACAGAACATTCAATCAATAACTGTCTGCTGCACTCACAGTGCAGGATGCAGAGGGAATTTCAGCTCTGTGCTATTTGGGATTCTCCTAGCTGATTGACAGTGTCTTCTTACCACCCATACCTGTGAAAATCACAGTCATGAAGTGTCACTACTCAACTTGTTCTGTCTTACCCCAAATGTACCAAAGGCTACCACAGCTCTTTCTTAT